TGAGGTCTAACAACCTGTGGATGAACTGTTCATTCTTTCTATATAAAACAAATGAGCAAATTAGTCATAATTAGCAAATGTTTCTCTTCTTTTGTGCTAAGAGAAAAGCATAATCTTTAAAGCACTAAGGAAGAATTTGATTGCTATTCAGATTGCAATAATCTTAAAAAGGAGAGGACAAGAGTGATAATGTTAGTATCAGCACTCTTTGATCTTATGTCTGTTCAAAGTTCAAATATCTTATACCAGCATTTGTTTCTGCCAGTAAATTAGCCCAGACTATGGCTAATATTGTCATGTAATTTGCTGCTTAATCTAAAACTTCTTTTTACATGCTACCAGATAGGCTACCTTGGATCCAGAGATTTCACTTTTCCAATGGAACAAGCATTTCAGTGATGAAGAGCTAACAGAATAAGAAAATATTTGATCCAAGTGACTATTCTTAATTTTAAAAGTATTGTCCATTCCCCATCTATATCATCAAGGCCAGCAGCTGTTTTATAAACACATGCTTTGAGTGAAGTATATATCGATCATGATTTATCCATAAAATGTACAGTGGACTTCTGGGGGAGCAATAGCAGATTGAAGACGGCTCCGTTTTTGCAGAGCTGACAGCCATGGCGAACAAGAGGAGCCAGCAAAGGAGCCAGCTCTTTGGAACCATCTCTGGACAAAAGAGGTGACTGGATCACCCATAAGTACTCCTTACAGAGGCTCCCTGTGAAGAGATAGCAAATTAGCGATCTCCAGAGTGCTCTGGGAGTCACGAGAAACATCAAGCCCAAGCTGTGGTTTGGAGTCTTTTGAAGGACACTAGATTCACATATACTGTACTTACTAACATAATGAAGGAATATTATTTTACTATAGAAGAATTTAAGTTGGCTTGGGAACAATGTGTTCAGGACCTATTTTTAAAATTTTCTGATACTTTCAAAGTGGAGCCAACAGAGGTTATGGAAGAAGAAAATATTCTATTGGATAAAATAAAGGTTGAGGATGATTTGAATAGGGAACTTAAAATGGATTTTAAAAAATTACCAGACTATAAAAGAGATATGGAAGACATGGAAAAAAAATGTTGTGGATTTGAAAAGGGACTTAAAAATGCTCAACTATAAGAGTGACATGGAGAAAGAAGCTGCATTAGACTTACAAATTATGCTGGTTGATGTCTTAACAATTAAAAGGGACATTCAAATCATAAATCAGAAGAATGACTGAGAATTATCTTATTTTGGATCCACTGAAGGGAAGTATTAAATTTCTAAAGTTGTTCCTGAAAATAGAGAGGGAGAAAATAAGAGATCATCATGTGGGACTTTATTTGAAGAAGCGACTGAAGATCAAGCCTCTTAAAAAGAAGAAAAAGGAGGTCGAAGTGGACTTCAGGGTT